GCTGTACCTCATGCCGGCCCCGCTGTACCTCATGCCGGCCCCGCCGTGCCTCACCTGTGGCTGGGCGCTGTACCTCATGCCGGCCCCGGCGGCCGCCGGGCCGTGCTCCATGGCCAGGGCGGCTCCGCGCGGCTCAGGCCGCCATGGCGCGCTGGCTCCGGCCTGGGCACCGTGCCCGGCTCCTCCTTCCCTGTCCTGCCAGGTGTGGAAACGCCCCGTGGGCCCTCCGAGGCTCCCGTGCCCCTGCAGCTCCCGCCTCTCCTCCTGCGCAGGGACAAGTGTCCGCAGGTGCCCCAAAAGCTGTGCCCAAAAGTCCCGCGCGAGCTCTGCGTCATCCAAGGGACCCTTCAGCCACGTGCTTTGCTTTAGGAAATGAAACCAAAGAAATCTTTCATCACCAGAAGCGGGAGGGCTGGCTGGCACCCAGGAATTCACAGCTCCTTGGGAAAAGCTTTGTGTACCCGTGGTCTCACCCCTTCTGGGGTGACAGCACTGTCACACTATGATACCCCCCCGCAAAGGGGATTTTACTCTGCTGTTCCCAAAAACATTCGGTGCGCTCAGAGCCTACCAAAGCAAAATGTTCCCTTTATCCCAGCCTGAAACCTGCCCTCAACCAGGCTGCAGCACTGTAGGAAGGAGCTTTCTCTCGGCAAATGCAGACCAGATGCCAAGTGAAGGACGGAGCAGTGCTGCAGGAACTGCACGTGTGCCCAGAGGTGGCACTCAGGGGGTGCTCAAACATCAGCAACAGTCCCCGGCACTGTGTGGGTTAATATTAAACGGAGAGGAGGAGGGACCAGCAGCAAAGCCCGGGGTTCTGGGAATGATCTAATGCAGGTTTGAAAGAGGGTTTCTAACACTGAAACTGTCTTACTCCATCATTTTCCCCTTCTTGGAAAGATGATTTCCCCACACACGCTCCAATATTTAGGTTTCTCGCACTCAAGAGCAAGTCAAGATTAAAATATCTGGATCAAACTTTCATGGAAAAGTTCTTCCCTTTTCCATCTTATATATGACAATCCAAACCAACATGTGATATGCCCATCCAAGATTAAACTGGCCATCCCACTGCCGACCCAAACCTCTTTACACCAACTGCATACAGCCCTGAAACTGATTTTTTTCCACATTTGAACACTTAAATTTCCCAGAACTCTGGTTCTGGTGTAACAGGAGCTGCCCACTGATCACACCCCGCAGGGATTCAGTCACTTGCTGGGTCACTTTTGTTCTAAAATGTCTCCTGCAGAGCATAAGTTTTGCATCCCTTTTGCGGGTGGTTTTTTGGGGAAAAAAGAGATGGCGTGAGTTCTGTGGTCCCGCTGTTGTGAAAAACACAAGGTAACTTTTAGGCTCTTGTAGAAATACATCCTCCACCGCCTTCCCTGCCCCCTCAGCAGCTGCCAGAATCCCACCCACCGCACAGCAGGAAATATCCCTAGATTTAAGGTATTCCCCTTCAAAAAGGTGCTGTGTTAGTCAGCCTGGTGATGTCAGAGTATTCAGCCCTCCCGCTGGTGCCCAGCCCTGCCCAGCACTGTTTTTACAGCCACTCCCTACCTGCCGGACTTAATACCCCCCTGGGTACAAAGCAGCTGGTCCCGGCTGAGCCACTGCCCTTGGATTCTACACATTTCTCCTGTTCAGTGTGTGGACTGATCTCCACCCGTGCTCCGGGATGTGGCTGATGAGGGCAAGAGGCAGATTCACTCTGGTGTCTCCTGCAAAGATCCAGAACTCCTGACTTTCCACAGAGCTGTGAAAACTCAGCGTGTTCTGTCGTTCACACCACTGACATTTTACAAACTAATTCACGAGCCCAGCTGGCTATTTGAACAAGAGGACGCAATCGCCGTGGGGAAAGACAACAAACAATACACGTGCTAAATACAAATATTATGTAGCTGGGAGGCTGCTGATTTAGAGTCCTAAATGCCAGGATTCCCGTTTCTCTGCTGCAGAAGCACAGGCATTTCCTTCTGTTATTTACAGGGATTTCCTTTGGGCTGTGCTGCAGCAGTTGCAGAGTCACCGTGTTAGCAGTAGGTGCCCTCCTTCTGGGCACTCTCCAGCCCTACAACACCAAACAACGATTCCCAGCCTGTCTGCCGCGTGCTTTTTGTGGCGAGATTTCCCTGTGTCCCTCCGGTGGTACTGAAGGATGCTGAGCCCAGCCAAGGCACTTTGAAAATGTAACAAAGTTCAAGGCACTTACCCACATGCGATGGCAGCAGTCAGCGACAAAGTCTCTGCTTATTCCCACTGGGACCAGTTTATCCAAGAAAAGCCGTCGCCTCCCCCTTCTCACGTTGTCTCAGTTTGGCCACAACAGCATCCTAAGAGCAGAGCCGGGATTTAACACGGCTTTGGGAGGAAGGAGAGCCCTGAAATCTGAGAACCAAGTCCGGCTTGGTCAGAACCCCGTGCGAGTTGCAAGAGCTAAACCGCGCTGAGCTCGAACCCCAGGAGAATCCCAGGGGAGACAGGGATCAGCTGCAGGAGCAGCAAACTCTCGCTGGACAGGCAGGATCCTTCCGCATCAGCTCCCAACCCTGGGAATGCCATCCACGTGAAAGAAGGGAAGAGCGTAGCTGCTTACATAAGAAATGAAGGCCGGCTGCCTGCGGGGGAAAAGGCTTCTGGTGGAGGCAGTTCCCAGGAATTCTAGCAAAGGAGCACCATCCATCCACACCAGGTTCAGTCAGTGCCTAAAGCTTTTCCTCCCTCAGTGTGGCTCAAGGATCCTGCTCTCAGTGTGACTCCCAAATTCAAATTTCACTGGCAGTGCCCTCCCACCCAGATTCCTGCCAGACAACCCCGAAACCACCCCATCTCAAACGCTCAATCCGGTCCGGCAACTTCCACGGCATTACAAAAGATTGGGAGAGAGATAATACACACAAGGTGTCCTGTTACTTTGCATTCCAAAGAGTAAATAAAAGGCTGATTCAGTGGGAGGAGGGGAGAACGTCACCCAGCAGCGCTGTGGTTTCCCGCTGAACCGGCAGCCCCCGAGAGCACAGAGGAGCGCTGGGCTCTGCTGGTGGGCACAGCGGCAGCAATTCCTGCTCCGGGGCCCCAGGCCAGTCCTCTTGGGCTGATTCAGCCTCTCCCTCTGCAATGCAAGGGGAATAATTACTGGCCGTGGAGAATGGGAGCTGTAAAAGTGCAATGAGTTGCCCTCAATTGGCCACACGCTGCTTTGGGTGGTGCTTCCCTTCCGAAAGCTGTTCAGGGATTACCGTGTCATATGGACGGGAACTTCTCCTTTGATCTCGAAAGCTTCTCAAGAGCTCAGGAGTGAGTCCTGGTCACAAAACATGTATCAGAAGTAGCTTTGCCTTCCTGAGATCATGAAAGCTGGGCAGAGCCAAGGACAGTAGTTATCTGCTCCATCCCGGGGATGACACGGGCATGAGAGGAGGCAAAGGATGTGACTGTGCAACCAACACCCTCAGCCCTCCAACACACCCCAGACAGCTCCGAGACTCGCTTTCCAAATCCAGGGGATCATTTCCCATGCCCTTGCTGCTGGTGCCAGCCACTGACAGCCAAAGGACTCCAGAGGGAATCCAAAGCCCTAGGAAACACTCCGAGGATGTAAGCTTGCTCCCGGGCCTACAGAGAGAGCTAGGTCTCTTTTTTCAAAGGCTCGTGAAAGCAGAGGACCCCCTTTGTGAGCCCTGAATCAGCAGCAGCAGTGTTTGCCTGGCAGAGTGGCCAGGCCTGACTGCCTGGTTTCTGGCACTGCGTGTTGTGAAACCCGGCTGCGCACTCGGGCACGCCCAAAACTCTAAGTCAGGTAAGGTCCCTTCTGCTAACGAGCTGCGAATGTGTCTACTGGTTTAGCTGGGCAGAGAGATGCAGACAATGTGCTGGAATTGTCCATTTCTCTTTGGTTTGTTAAAAACAAGTAGAGCTGACCTGGCTCAGCTGCATTGCCCCCTTATGTTCCACACAAAGCACAAGTTCAGACTTAGTGTTGGTGTTACCACCAAAGAAGAAGCATGCAGCTTTGACTTTTCATCTATTTTCTTTCTTATTTCCCTTATTATTCCCTTTTTGCCATTTATTATTCCTCTTATTTCCCTCACTTTGTTGGTGCAGAGGGCCAGGGATGTGGTACAATATGGGAATTTTTGCTGTTTTATGGTCCAGCTCTTGCTGTCTTTCAGACAACGAACTGCCTGACGTTCCAGCTGCCCCTGTAGCAGGGGACAGTGACACTGGGGGGTACAGTGACACTGCACATGCTGTTAATGCACCCACCTAAAGCAGGAGAATGTCAGAGGTGAGGAGCAAGCCGGGCTCCCCTGGATGGCGCCAGAACTCCCTGGAGGAAATGTCAAGCTGGAACAAGGACCCTGCTTGGCTGGGTCAGGCTTGCAGACCTGTTCTAGGCCATCTTCCACCCCAAAAGCAGCATCACAGGGTATAATTGTCTGGAAACTCTGCTCTTCTTAAGACAATCATTAAGGGGTCTTTACTTTCTGTGACTTTTCCTAACATCCCAACTCCATCTTCCTCACTGCATGAAAAATTGGTAAACTCTGATGAATTCTCCGAATGTCAGACACTTATTGCTGACCCTCAAGTACTTGTGGGGCAAGGGTTGTCCATGGGTTGAAGGAGAGCCCTCGGATTCCTTCCCCCAGATGGCAGGGAGATGTGGGCAAACCTGCCTCACCCTGCAGCCCATCCCAACTCCTGAGGGAAGAGAGCACTGCCCTTCAAGAATCAACAAGCTGGGAACCACTGTTCCCACCCATTAGTTGTTGCTCTCTCTTATGCTTGTCTCAGAGCACAGAAAAGCAGGAAAAATGTAAACAGGGTTAAATCCAGCCCTAATGCAAACTCTGTAATTCTTGACAAAACTGTTAAAATCCAGGTGGGTGGACATAGTCAGTGAAAACTTTATTCCCATTGGAAGGAGTTCCTGGGTTTGCTCACTCTGAAGAGATCCTTTCACCCTGCCCACATCACTTTGACTCACCTCCACAACACAAGTTGAAAAATGAGAAGGAAATAAATCCTATCAACCAGCACTAACTCACATTCTAATTACTCCTCCCTCTGACCGAGGCTCTCCTGCTCACAGATGCCTAAGAACACAGGGAAAGCTTTTGAGTTGCCCTTCAAAGGAAGAAAGTGCTAATTTTGTGCCAAGAAACACTTTGGGCTTTTGGGGAAATCCTGAGCTTTGCCCATTAACACCTTCCCACTCCCAGCTGTCCCAGCACAGGTTGGAACAACAATACAGTTGAGTTTTTGATTTTTGGTAAAGTACCAGTTTCCTACAGAGGTGGCACATGACATTGCAATGCTAAAACTGACAGAGAAGATAACTTCATTTTACCAAGATAACTCTGTTTTTCACCAGCACCAGCTTTAAAACCCTTTCTGAGCCATTTCAGGGGCCAACTCAAGTTGGAAGTCACTCTTAGTACAGCAACACTGACAGAAGCAAACCTCAATACAACAATTTATGAGGTTATTGCTTGTCATTGAGCTACTCAGGCCACCCCAGCCACGGAACAGAACTTATTTCCTGACACAAACAAAGCAGTGCAAAGGGAGGTCAGTAATTCATAAAGCTGCAGTGACTCGAGGGCTTGTGACTGTCTCAGACCCATAATTTCCCGATATAACTGAGCACACAGGAACAATTCTCACCATGGCCTGACTTAAAAGCAACTTCCTTAAGCACTTTAAAAGTCCTCAGTGCAAATACCTTTTTTTTTGAGTAATCAAGCATATCTGTCTATGTATAGCAGCACATTTTTCTATGTATGTCGTGTAAATACCAAGCAGCCATTGCTTTCCTGAGCACAAAATGAAAAATCTTCTGTTGTTGCTAAAAATTAATTCAGAATGACACACAAACTCGTTAAAGCCATTCACCAGTTTTCAAACACTGCCAGGACCTTTGCAGGTCCATGTTAAGACTTGAAGCATCAGCACACAGGTAGAACAAAATGACGTTCTATTTTCCAGGCTTTGACCACCTTGCTCTGGGTCAACACAGCCAGATGCTTCCCCTGGATTTTATTGGCACGTTCTGCTCCTTCTTTAAGTGTCCTTGTGGAACCTCCTGATCCTGGAGCTCTGAAGGACCAGCACACTTCTGCTTCTGGAAAGTGTTCTCATTTGCTGTCAAAATTAATGCAAGGCACAGATAAAACAACTTTTACTTTAATGGGAAAAGTATCCTATGAGAATCCAGTTTTTCTTCACAATTTTTTGTTTCCTTTTTAACTGTTGACAGTTTTTGCTCACTAATAGTGTCTCAAAAGGCAGTTAAACACCAAAATATTGAGATGCCCAGTCAAATTTTACTTTATTTCCTTCCTCATTGGCCTACGCCAACGGGAAGTTTCCTTTCTTTTTCACTTCCCTTCAGAACTGGTAATTTACTGTGTTTCATGGACACAGCAGCTTTGAAAAAACAAACAAACAATCAAACAAAAACTGTTGTTAAGAAATCTTTCAATGAGGTGGTAGCGCTTTCTGTCAAGTTACACGTTGGAGGTGACACCCTTTGCCCCTTTATTTAGAGCAGAATTTAAGGCTTTTTTTCTTTTCCCTCTTGAAATACATGGTCCAGGTCCATCCCATTTTCCAATTTACAGATTTTGACTCTAAGTAACACAAACAGCAGGGCTTTTGGGAATTAGAATGTTTTCTTTCAATTATTTTCATATATGATGAATAAGGATTTTGGTCCTGGCAGGTGAGTTATTTTGCTCCAGGTGTTGCAAACTGGAGGACAGCGAGAAAAAAATAACATTAGAAGATATGGATGAAAAGGCTCACCAGGTTGGTTTAGTGAATACCTCCAGACCTAAGGAAACAAATTGGTTCTTAAAATATTTACCTCTGATGTAGCAGTTTTCAGGCCTCAGTGCAGGATGCCATGTACAAGATTAATCAGGTTTAAGTGACCTAATCCACATTGAAGGGGTCACTTGACAGACGCTGTGTCATCCCTAAATTAAATCATTAATTACCACAATTTGAACTACTCATGCAGAATTCATTCTCTAGTCCACAAGACAAAGTGGTTATACCCAGAGAGGATCCACCTGCAGGAACAGGAGGGAGCTTGAATGAATTGCCCTCTGGAGGGATCAGCAGCTGCAAATGCAGTGTAGGGTGAGAAATGCAGATTTATCTGTTGAGAAGTTCAAAGCACCAGTTAAGAAAGATGATTCCAGCCTCCCACCTCTGGATCTACACACATCTGATCCACCCACATAACTAGGACTCAAGTAAACCTCAGACTGAGATAAATCAGCATCAAACCACGTGAAAAACAAGTAACAAGGTTTTGTGTTTACTGAAAGCTATGCCAGTGTTTTCCAAGGTATTTGGAAAACAAAAATCATCTGCTAAAATATGCAGGTTGATGTCCAATTAACCATTCATTTGAAGGAACACTTGAGGTAACCTCTAGGTGCGTTGACTGGGTTATGAGGGTGTCCTACTGAGGTTCATAAATACAGGTTTTCCCCATGGTTTAAATAAAACAGAGCAGTTGTTAGAATAAAGGTTTGAAAGGTTTTAAGTGGCCTGTGGCTGTTTGTGTAGCGTGCTCAGCGCTTGTTAAGCAGGGCTTACACAACATCCTCTTGGTAGAAATAAACATCTAATCCGCACATTTTAGGAAATAAGACTCTTGGATAACTGGAGCATCTCACTGTGGCAAAACCAGGCTGTACTTCATTTTTCAGTTAAAAAAGGAA